TTCGTGAGTCACCACCCTTATAAATGCCATCCACCCACTGACCACCATGTCTTATCATAAGTTCCACAATTGGAACCCCACTGCAATTTTGAAAATATCAAAATTGTCAATCATTTTACACATTACATGTCATATTCTATAATTTGTCTATCATGTTGTTACACGTTATTTTTCAAATATGTTACAGGCCATTTTTAAAAAATGTTACACGCCATGTTTAAAATATGATACACGCTATGTTCAAAAATGTTACATGCAAGTTCAAAAAGTGTTACACGCCTTGTTTAAAATGGTTACACGCAAGTTCAAAAAGTGTCACACGTTCACAACATGCTACACGCCCTGTGCTAACACATGTTATTTTAGTATATTTTTTACACGCTATCTGCTTTATAGATACATATCGTGTAACAACTCTGGGTAGTGTTTCTAATCCATGTTCTAATTTACACAACAAGTTTCAAAAATTTATCTATTGTAGCAGTAAACCCAATAACATACCTTGATATCATCTCTACTATAGGGTCTGTTTATCGATGACAATATGGCCAGATGCTGAGAGATAGACTACAACACGATGACGATGGTGCTTAACAGAGAGTTGACAGAGCTTATAAAGTTCAGAGAGTTGAGCAAGCTAATGAAAATGGTGCTTAACAGAGAGTTAACACAGTTGATACAGTTCAGAAAGCTGAGAGAGAAAGATGAGCGACCTCAAACAATTGAGCATTTATTTCTATTTTCTCTTTGGCAGGAAGGAGATATCGGGAGCTTAATTTCCCACGATGTTATTAAGGGCATTTTGGTCTACTCATGCTTATTAGTGGCTAGAAACAGATAACTTTATATGGTTCGTTATTTTTGAAATCACCTTATGCCGAGGTCCTTTTCTCACAATTTCCTTTCAAATAAATTGCAAGGCTCATAATACTTTTCTTTGTGTCTTGGGAGCTAGTGACTTTAATAAAGTGTTTATGAGTGTAAATGTTAAACAAATTTGGGACACCTTAGAAATCACTTATGAGGACACCAACCAAGTCAAGGAATCCAATATTAGATTGCTTACGCATGACTATGAGCTCTTTAGGCTGAAAAAATGGTGAATCAATTATTGATGTGTTTGAAAGATTCACTAATATTGTAAGTGGATTAAAGGCTTTAGGGAAAGACTTTCCTAATGCCCAACTTGTCAAGAAATTTTTGTAAAACCTACTTAAGTCTAAACGACAAAAGCCATGGCTATAAAGGAAGCTAGAAACCTCAATGACTTTTAAGTTAAAGGCACGCATAAGCTCCCTTCCTACCTGTGAAATGACACTTAAACATGAGAATGAGAAAGAAGAACTTAAGAAACAAGATGTCAAACAAAGCGAAATAACCCTTAAATCTATAGTCGAGGAAGAGGAAAGAAGCACCAAGAGTGAAAGTGAAATTAAAGACAACATGGCATTGCGAGGTAAGAAATTTAATAGATACATGAAGAAAAATTTTAAAGCAAAGAAACCTATAAAAAGGGATGTGCCTAAGGAAGAACATACAAGAGATCGCTGGATATGTTTTGATTGCAAAAGGCTCGATCACACAAAATATGAATGTCCTAACAACAACATGAGGAACACTTTAAGAAGATTCAAAAAGAAAAGGATGATAGCAACTTAGAGCGATAATGATGACTCCCAAGATGAGAAAGATGATGAATTTACAAACCTTTGTCTTCTAACACTTGGTGATTGCAAGACCCAAGAATGATAACCATATCTTGAGCCTCCACATTTCAATGGTGAAGACTTTCATGTTTGGAGATATCAAATGAGACTTTATTATTGCAAATGATTGTCAAACACTGAAACAAATTGAAGATTGTGAAATCCCACCTTAATGTGGGATATTTATATTAGCAAAGCCTTAGATAAGCAAGATGAATTGTGTTTGCACATAGGAAATTTAGTTTTTGTACTTAGAGAATTTAATGTTTTAATGTTTTGAAATGATGTAGAAAGTTTGGTTTGAAATGGAGTCCAATCGATAGATGTTCTTCGTTTAAACCTAGAAATGATTCATCACTAGGATAGATATTTTGATTAAGACCCTATCAGTATGATGGGAGAGCTCGGAGAATATCTTTAATAAAAACCTCCGTTCGTAGTAGGTTTGCTTTCATAAAAAACCTTATTTTTACTCGTAAATGACTACCCAGATGGTGGAATTTACTTGTTAGACTTGTGAAGGCGAGTTTCCTTGGTAATTCCCTAGGTGAAAGAATATTCTCGGATCCCACCAGTATGATGGGTAGATTCGACAAATATCCTCAATAAAAGGTTTCGTTTGACATTACTCGGATTTTTTGCCATGCATTTTATAATCGCATCATGCACATGTCACACTCGTAAAACCAAATAGAATATTTTAATTTGCTAATAGAATAAAAGATAAATTAAATAAATAATAATTAAGAAAACATAAAAATAAAATTAATGGGTTCGGATAATATATGATTAAATGGTACCATTCGTGAAACGGGAGTCATAAAGGTGCTAATTCTTTCTTATGTGTAACCATACTCCCGAATCCAAATTTAAATAAGATACATAGACTAATTTGTTGTTCTTTAGACGGACCTAAAGTTGATTTAAAACTCCGTCGAATAAAATAAATTTAATAAATGATCAATCGTACCTAGGTAAAAAGAGATTGGTGGCGACTCCTTAAGTAAACCAAGTCTAGTGATCGAGTTCTCGGACCCCTGCATCATGACAGTAGTAAAGTACTTTGTAAACCAAAAACTACAATGTTATCTTTTCTGTATTTTAATTATTACTTTAGTTATATATTAAATATTATAATGTTATCTTTTTTACAATCACATTACTTATAATCATATTACATTGTAAAATATCAAGTCACCTAAGAATCAAAGAAAAAAAAATACAAAACGTCATAGACAGGGAGAACAGAAAATTTTATTTTTACTTAAAATTTTTGCTTTCATTATAGCCACATTTACCATGAAAAATAAAAGCTCTTGATGAAATAAAGTTAAAGAACATTATAATTTTGTACATTTACAAATTATTGTTTCCATAAATAATTGTACCATCAATTAATAATAAACTTATTTGTCCTATTTGTACTGACACGTCTTTTCTTCTAATCCAATTTAATGGAAGATTTATTTCATAATCATCCAAATTAATTAACAAAATAAATTTTAGGAGTCCGCTGTAAAAGGGGAACAAGGCACCGAGAAAAGAGACGACAAAAGGTTTTTCCCTTCAATTATTTCGGTGACCAAAACCAAAATATAATAATAAAAATAATATCCCTCTTTCTTCTTCAACGATATAAAAAAACAAGAAGGTTCGCCTTTTCGTTCATCGTACTTGACGTGTGAGAATAAAAAGGGGGAAGGGAGGGCGATCGGTGGAGAAGCTGCTTGTCTGTTGGCTTGAGGAGAGTCGAGAGAGAGAGAGGAAATTGTCGTTGGAATTAGAAAAAATGGTGTCGGCGAATAGGGAAATGGTGGTCTACTGCTTCGACAATTTGGTCGCCCACTACAACAGCGAGGAGGCTCCCCCGCCCGCCTTCGACGAAGGCCAACAGTAATTTCTCCTTTCCCCCTCTCTCTCTTTCTCTCTTTGATTCTATCTATCTATCTTCCTCTGTACATATGTTGGGTACGCATGCATTTGCTTAATCGAAGCATCTGTCAACGTATATTTGATCGTTTTTTATGTTGTTGCGATGTTTGCTCTTTCTCTCTTTCTTTCTTTGATAATGATGCGTTGGGTGCCGATGATTTTATTTTATTTTTTTCTTGGTTTTTGATTGTATTAAAAGTTTGGTTCTTTTCGTGGTCTTTTGATTTCCCTTTTTTTTTTTTTATGTTTGTTTGTTTGTTTGTTTGTACCTGGCATTAATTTTAATTATGTTGGTGCAACAACAATTTCATCCTTTTTTCTTATTTTTATTGGTAAAAGTTGAGTCATAAGTTTTATGTCAATGATGTTTGTATAAACTGTATAATCTTTCAAAGTCATGTGGTGAAGTGTGGTCTACAAATAAAATTGAAGGTTGTCTCTGTGCGTTGAATCAGGTGGGAGCCCATTGTTTCTTAACACTGCTATTATTGTATATAACCTTAAAAAAAAAAACCAAATATTTTTTGGAAATACAACTTCAATTCATTTATATGGTTCAAATTTGACCTCTTTTGAGGGAAGACATTTAGAATGGAGAAATTTATGCACTAAAAGATGCATTTGTTGACTTCTGAGCTTGCAGCTGTTTTTGTTTTGTTTAAAGTTGCTAAATTTTTGGATGTTTTGCATGTAACAAATTGTTATATTCTGATTTTGTATCAAATGTTTCAGCTTTGATACAAGATAGTATTCTTCAGTCCTTTAGTTAAGTGGATTTTAGAGTCATCAGGGATATATTGTTGACTATAAGCTTCATGATGACTTTTTGTTGTCTATGTCTTGCCACTTGGCCCTTCCATGAGATGTTCATTGCATTTCATGTTGATTTAATTATCAGTGTATGCTTTTGTTGGCTTCTTCACTGTTGGCGCTTTACTGTTGTCTTTATTTGCATTTTGGTTGGAAAGTTCTTATAGCAATGTCTATCTCCCATCTTCTTTCTTCCAAGGTTGTGCTGCTGCACAGATTAATAGAAAACTTTTTGAACATTTTCTTTATTTGTGGTTGTTTGTCAATATCCCATAGAGAGTTTCAGCAGTGTTGCCCTTTTCTTTTCATGTTGCACTGATTTTCTTACTTCGGTTTACTTATGTTGTTGGGATGTTGGTATGTTTGGCTTTTATTTTAGTAGCATTGTCAGTGCAAACTATGTCTACTATGATTTTAGTTTTTCTTTGATCTTATTGTATTTGTATTAGTATATCCAATAGCCCTAGATCTTTTTCAGAATAATGCCTTCATCTGAGACAAATGTCATCTGTCTTCAGCCCCTTGTTTGTCACTTGGAAGAAGATTGTGAGTGGTGGGGAGCCTCGTTTACGTGGATGTATTGGCACTCTTGAAGCTCGCTGCTTGATTAACGGGTTTAAAGACTATGCTCTGACGAGGTATTAAGACCTAAAAAAACATTTAGTTTGGATTTTAAATTTTCTTCTTGTTTTCCGTGTGTGTGTGTGTGTGTGTGTGTACACCCCATGTAGCTAAGATAGCAACTATGACAATGCCTACTACAGTGAGCTTATTAAAAATTCTCTCTTATTTATCGTCAATTTTTCTGTCATTGTTTTTAAATAAAATAAAATTCATCACATTCTACTATCCATGTATCATGAATGATCTGCCTGAAAAAATGATTTACCTAATAAATATCAGAGATGTGGTAGGTGCTTTGTAAAAAATGGAGTGCTTCAGATAGACATGATTAAGATGAAAAAAATGGGAATGCTGTTATAGTTACAAGTTATTGGACATCGAAGATCTGCTATATCTTTAGATTGATTATTCCTATCTCATACCAGAATAGGATGTTAGCATGCTTTTATTACAAATAATATGTTCGACTATAAAAGTCCATAGAGTCAAGGTTAGGCAACTTACTTGGAAGAAGAGTGCTTTCTAACCTCTGGCCAGGGTGATTGTTATATACTTTTGATAGGGAAAGTGATAATAAAAAAAATGGCCTTACTAGCAATCAGACAAGTACTAAAGGAGTGGTAGCAAAGTGAAAGAAGTTAAATACAAGAAGATTTATGCATTAAAGATACACTATTAGTAACCAATAAAAATTGTTAGCTTTTTAGTGTTTTCATGGGCTAGTGAACATGGTTTGACCAAAATACTGCTATATTATTTCAATTTCATGTCTTGCAGTGAATTGAGATCTGGCAGTGAGATTCAGTGGCTCTCACTTTTTGCCCTACCTTTGTTTTAGTTAACTAAGTTTGATTTTCAGGCACTGTTTGTTGTGATGCTTAATCAGTCCAGCTGAGGGTAAAATCCTGAGGGCAGATAGAGGATAATGATTGAATGCTGATAGCACTTATATTAATATTTACTTTTGCTAATGGAGTGTTGTTAACACTTTTGCTCTATATAATTACTCTAAAAGAAATTAAGAAACCATGAATGGCGATAATACTTTCCACCATTAAGATATCTTCTTACATAATATTCCAACCTTCCAGTGGAAATAAAATATGTATCTGGATCTCTAAAGAAAGGCAATTTACTGCTCTTTGCAGCTTTAGTTTGGTCTGCAGTCAAATGATTTTGATCATTTTAAACTTTTGTCCTTGGTCTACGCACTGCAAAGGAAACTACAAGTTCTTCTTAGTTAATTCATTCTGTTACTTTCAATTTGGCATGCTTCTTTACTTTCTTCTGGCATGCCTTGTGACATTTGCTAATGGATTTTTTGAACATCTAATGTTTGCAGTGCTTTGAGGGATCGCAGATTTCCCCCTATACAAGCCAAAGAACTGCCTTATTTAGAATGTACAGTTTCCATTTTGACTGATTATGAAACAGCTAATAACTACCTTGATTGGGAGGTATGTAGTTCAACTCAATTAGGATCTTTTAATATTGGAGTGAGGAATATAGACAGTGTGTTGTCTTTGTCATTAATATACTTTTAACATGTTTTACTCCCTAATGTATTGGTTAATCAAATAATCTGCAATATTGAAGATTCAGATTGGTTATGGCTTTCCCTTTTGTTATTCTATGTTTTCTATAGGGTGGAATGTTGGTGTTAATATGGTTCTATACTTGGTAATGCTTTGACATATGTATAAAAATTGGTAAAGCACTGACCCTAGCAGTATCTATTGGGGAATATGGCAATGATATATGCTTTGACATCTGGACTGCATTTACCTGTCCTTCCTACCTCTGATTTTTTTTTTCAGGTTGGAAAGCATGGCATAATTATTGAGTTTACTGATGACTATAATATAAGGCGAAGTGCCACATATTTACCTGAGGTGCCTGCACATGAAGGTAGATTTTATTGCCTGTTATAAGCCCAATGGAATGATATGATATGGAGAGTTTCTTTGCTTTTCTTTCCAACTTTCTAATCTGTGTGTGTGTGTGTGACTATTTATCTTGTTTCAGACTGCCTGAAATTTGAATTTGAATTGCAATGAGCAAATTTCTTGTTTCTTTTCTGGTTATTTATTCTCATCTTGTTACGCTGTACAATGATTCCGCAATTCTTTTTATTAGTCAAGCATGCTAGCTGGGTCACTAGTGACCTAGTTTTACTATATACTGCCTTTCATACTTATCACTGTTGCTCCTATGCTCTAATATTTTTAAATCAAAGCAATTGCAAGTGTTAGATTCAGGGGAAGGAAGTAATTAATAATATCTACCTCATTGCAAGAGATGTCAGGTGACATGTAAAGCTGCCTTTTTATTTGTATTTTGTTCTGAAACTCTAGTTTTAGTGAGGTGCAGGCTTTTTCTGCCAGATTTATATACATAGACTGTCTTCTATTGAAAGGTTTACTTGTGCAAGAGTTTTATTAGAGAACAAACACTTTGTAACTTAGTTCATCACAGGTCTAGTTTTCAGAGCAAAATTTGCTGATCACTCCAATGCTTCTGTTCTGCTTCAGGTTGGACTAAAGTTGAGGCAATTGACTCACTGATGCGCAAGGCAGGCTTCAGTGGCCCCATCACTGAATCACTCAGGAAGCGTATAAAACTGACTCGGTACCAAAGCACACTATTTACTATGCACTACAGTGACTATGCCTCCTATGTCAAGACAACAAGGGGTGCAGCACCTTCTATTGCTGGTGCTAGGCTCAGCAACCACTGATTCTTCCAAACAGCTGTTACCAAAATGGTAAAGCTGTTTTGGCTAAATGATAAGCATATAATTTAAACAAAAACAAAAGTGGGTGGAATGGATTTGATTGTGTTCCTACCCAGGTTGCATAAGTAATTACATTTACCTTTCAAATATCATTCTTCAAATTCGTTTGATTTTGAAGATAGATACTATTCCTGATGTAACTCAGGTATACCGTCTCTGCTTTGATCAAGACATTCATGTTCTGCAGCTTCTCTGGGAAAGCTGTTTGCTGTAAGACACAGTTTGACTTAAAATCGCTCAGGGACATGTTTGTTCCCAGCATTATTTGGGTCTTTTCTCTTAGTTGCATAACTGTTTGACTCCATTGACTTTCAAAGTTTGCTTGCTTCATCCTTGGCTTGCAAGTGAGAAGTAAATGCTGAGGATAGAGCCAGAATCCACGTACATGGTTCTTTTTATGGTAAGCTCTATACCTTTAGTTTGACCCTTTTATGAAACCTTGTAGGGTTAAGAGTTTTCAGGTATATCTGATGATTAGGCCAGTGATGGTTTCTACCTCTAGACATGTAGGATACTGATTATTTTGGTATCATAAAACTTTAGAACCATGAATCTTAGAATAACTAATATACTGGGTATGGTGCACCAAGATAAAAACATGGTAGTTGCTTCATATGAATATAAGGGTTAATTACATATTTGGCCTTTAAATTATATCGAAGCTGTGGATTTAGGAGATTAAGAATGTGATTAAGGGGTTAGGGAAATAGGAAATTATGATAGATGCTTAGTTAGTTATATTAGGTGAACACCTCCCTTAAGGGAGAAGTACACTTAGTTGGTGTTGGTATTTTGCTGGGAATGTGATTGTTAGATTTGTGATTGTTGTGAAGATAACTTTACCGTGTTTAGTATAAAATTTAAAAAATAATAATTGTAAGAAATATGATCGTTGAGAAGATTAGATGATAGTGGTTGTTTTGAAAGTATTTTACTAGGCATATAGCGTAAATTTATAAAATTATCTTTATACATGAAAATATAAAGTTGAATAAACTTATATTTTTTTTAATGTAAGATTTTAATATTTCAACTTTATCTCTTCAAATAATAAATAATAGCATAACAAAAATAATGTAATATTACTAAATATTTATTTTGACCCTAAATCTATAAATATTAAAAATAATAATGCTTAAAATTATCACATTAATAAAAAACATTATCCAAAGAATTTTTTAATTTTGTCTTTAAACTTTTTTAGTTAATGATTTCTTTTTTTATTTTTTTAAAACCAAGTAGTAAAAACTTTTAATAATAATTTTTATGAACAAATAGAAAAATTTCAATGTTTCACACAAAGTTTGTTGGACAAGAAGCAAATTGTAGGTAAAATGTGGTAATGGAACATTTTTTTTCTTATTTTTCCACATGAAAATTTGTCAACTAAACCATCAACTTTTGATAGCCCCAACATAGACATTGAACAATAAAATGCCATCCTACCATTTCCCACTTTTCCCACCATTTCACATGAGACTTGATGGCTGTAAACAAAAGGACTTATAAAAGATTATGTCACGAAATCAGAGAGTTCCCAGAATCCATTCCTCTGCCCATTTTCTAGCAAAAATGATTCTATGCAAGCAGCATTAAACTGGTTCAGCTTAAACATCACTAAACATTTGGTCCCAGCAACAATCCTACTTCCAAGGCCAACAGACAGTGATATCAATCAACACCATCAGCATCCAAACAGAAACATGAGTAATTCTAAACTTTCCCATCAACCATAGCTTTCCAGATCATAGTCTAAATGCTAATTAACAACTTACTTGAAATCTTAAAAATAAGGATAACTTAAGAAGATTCAAACTAGTAAGTTCCTAATATATTAGCACCAAACATAGTTTAAACACCAAATAGTCTTCAAACAACAAACAACCTTCAAACTCCAAGAAGAAATTACAAAGTTTTTACTGAACGGCAATCCAATATAAAGTTTAAATTGTAAATAACTAATAACTACTTGTCCATTGTAAGTACTCTTATATTGATAAGCCACTAAGCATAAGCCTTTGTTGTTTGGAATTTGAAAATACAGTGCTTTAAAAAGCAAGTATATTCTCATTATTATATTTCATTTATTTTTTTTTGTAATCAAAGTACATTTTGACAATACTATCTAGTTATAAAAGTACTATGATTCTATTGAGATATTAAAATATATTTGTACGAAGAGTCTTTCATAGGAGAATGTATTTTAATTAAATCTAAAAATTATTCATAGTCATATAATAAAGCTTGTCAATTTTTTATATTAAAGCTGTAGTGTCTAAATTACTTCAACAAAAATAATGTGATTCACTTCAAGAGAATTATGAGTCTCAAATCAACGAAATGATTGACTTTGAGTAATGACACTAACATGAATTGGAATCATGTGAGATTCAAATTTAAGTTTTAACTGTTACTTAAATCTTGATCTCACACTTATGCATTTATTTATGGTAGAATCAAAATCTTGATGGATAGTGGACAATCAAAATCTTTATGGATAATGGACTTGTGTTTATTTTCTTTATAATCTTTGATATATCATGGGCATGATCATCTTAATGCGCTGATTTAGACCACGTATGTTGGGATTATAATTGAGGTGAGCATCCGGGAATATGTATCCAAATAGTGAAGTTCATTGCATTAACATCACTTATAATGATTTTAAGAAGATTGGTGATTAATATGGGTCTAGTGGATTGATAAATTAGCTCTTATCACATCTTGATACTCAAAAGATTAGATCTAGAGTATTGGATCACCAATTGGATGAAATCTAAGACTAAGGGACAAAATTGATATAAAGGGTAAAACGATAATTTCACTTTTATCATTGGATGGTTATGAGGGTTCACAACATAAAGTTTACAATTTGAACAACTAATATTGAATGTTAAATATTGGATCCTTTCTTGTAATTGTAGTTAATCCAAGAGTTCAACTATGAGTCTAAGGTGAAGTGATTTCACACTTAACAAACTTGAATTATCTTAATGAAATTAATTATAAGTTTATTGGAGCTTGAAACATCTACATCCAAATAGATTCTCCACTTAGTTTTATAAAATTTAACTTGTTTAAGTTGGAATGCATGCTTATTTAATTATTTAAATTTATATTCAAAAATGGTAACTTTACATATTGTCTTAATTAAGATAAGAGTTGTCTCAATTTAGACAAGGTACATATGTTGTCTTAATTAAAACAAAAGTTGTTTTAATCTAGGCAAGACTGTATATGCTGATTTAAAACAAAAGATGTCTTAATTATTTTATTTTTTTTAAGTGAAAAAATTGTCTTAATGAATAAATATTCTTTTAAGGCAAGAGTTGTCTTAAAATGAAAAATATTTATTGAGATAATTATTGTCTTGAAATAAAATAATATTGGAAGATTTAATTATAATTAAAGAATTAAATAGTTTATTCTTTATTTATAATTAATTATAATTTCTTGACAAATTATAAGAGTCCATGTTTGATTAGGATTTTTTTATTTTACTATTAATTCTTTTTAATTAAAAAATAAAATGGAATAATTATTCAACAAAAAATCATATTTTGAATAAGTAAATAATTATAAAAAAATTATTTATTTATTTTTTTAATAATAATTTTAATTATTATTGGAGGAGTATGGTACAATCATAACACTTTAGGAATGACAAACTTGGACTCTTAATAAGAATTTATTTTTAATTAAAAATAAAAATGAAAGAAGAGTCCATCAAAAAAACAAAAATTTAAAAGTCTTAACCACACTTTATAAAAGCGAAAAAGAAATTTTCATCATCTTTTTAGGTTGAAACCCTAAGTCCAAAAGTTCCTTCAAGAATCCTCCATAACTATCCCTTTTCTTTAGGTTCTTCTTGATCTCCAATCTTGGTATATTTTTCTAGAAACCTCTCACAAGAAAAAAAATCGTAGATTTAAAAAAGAAAAAAGAGAGAACTTCAATTTTTGCTATTTTGATTTAGCATTCCACACTTTATACACTTAAGGTTCAAGTTGAAAGCCATTCTTGAAGCATAGGTGGTAAATTTATTTGATTGAAAAATCAATTTTGATGTGGTGATAAATTTACCATAATTCACTAAGAGTCAAGAATCGAGAATCTTGTAAAAGAAAAACCTATTTCAGTAATTTGTGCATAACTTTTTCCTTAGAGCTCCAATTGACGTGATTCTAGAGGCATTGGAAAATTAAAAAATATGGCTACAATTCTTATGTTTACCATTTTGTCCAAGTCGAACGGGATCAAAGAGAAAATTCATCACACGTTTCTTATTAGTGTAAATCAAATTTACGGAACTAAATCATAGAAAGGTATGTTCATCATTCTTTATAAATTCTTGATTTTTATGGAAGTGATTACATGATTTGAAATAAGTATGATGTGTGCATTCCACTTGTGTATTTAGATTGCTTACTTCCATTAAAGAAAATTTTTTGAAGTACATATTTTACACAAACACATCAATGCACAAAGATCCAATCCCCAACTCTTGTTTCACATAAAAAATCTTGTATTCATTTGACATGATGTGGAAGTGATTAACTGTTAAGGGCCCACAGTAGGACTAGCAACTAAGTGAACCTAACTTAGTCAAAGTGGTTCATTTTGACGAGGTTCACAAACGTTTCACACTTGGGAAAAGAAGAACAGAAAAGATTAATTGTCAATTAATGTGTCCATTGTTATTCTAATTTAAGTTAGTTTTTCATTATCTATCATTCTATTTTTAAATTATTATGGAGTCAGTTTTACATTATCTACATTTTCTAAAAAAGCTAAATTCAGTTGCTTTTTAATAGAAGGCAGTTGCTTTTTAATAGGAAGCAATCATGATCAGTCATGCTTGTAGTCTAGTTTAAAAAGGGAGTTATGAGGAGGAATAAAGCAAGCATTGTTTCTAATCAAATTTCCATCTTCGAGATCAAAGAGTTCTCTTTAACAAGCTCTTAATTTTTTTATTTTCAAAATAGGTTAAAAAGGTAGGAAAACTCATAAACATAACTTGCGAGCTGAGTTGCCTTCAGATTTCAGATTGCAAAGTCCCATAACCAAAATAGTCAAGGGCCTATAACAACCTGGTATTAAAGCAAAGGGTTATGGGAGACTCTTGTACTCTTCAACAGCAATTTGAAGCCTTCATGGTTATGTATCAGGAAGATCGAGCACGAGATAGGGCCAAAAGAGAAAAGGACAAAGGTACCAACGTTACAACCCAATTGGGAAAACTTTCTTGTGACTTAGTTGCAAACAGATTAGAAGATAAGGGA